TCACACGTACAATTTGCATTGAAGAATATATTCAGTTGATTTAATCGTCGCATCACATTATTAATTCCCGCATCGTTCCTCCTAAGCAATCGCGACGCGCGAAAGAGACGCTAAAAATCTTTGACTTGATATCTCGGATCGACATGGATAAAAGAGCAGTAAGTATAAATAATGTACATAATAGTATTATTGTTTTCTACAGCGTATTTATTAGCCTATTATAAGTAATTGAGAAAGTTTGATAAGTTAGGTTAACCGGTGTTTTTCTTGTGTTTACTTTATATATGTAAGAAATAATAATATCCAAAAGAGGCCTTTGTGTAATTATGAAAAGTTGTGTTTGTGTATATGTATGAAAAATGTCTAGAGAAGGTTAGACGGAGACAAACTTTTTCTTTTTCTTTTAAAGTGTCGTTAATATATATATATATATATATATATATATATATATCCAGGGGCAGTTTCCATGACTTTTTCTTATAAAAACGGGCAGTTTTGACGACATTTGGTTGTTTTGGCGACCGTCGTCAAAACTATTGCGGTATAAAGACAATTATGACGACAGTTGCGAAATCTACCTATATACTACTGAAATATTAAAATCTAATTTTACTTATATAATTGTATGTATATCTAATGTTATTATTCGTACACTATTGTTTTCATCATTATATAACAAAATATATCTTTTGATGATTAATATAGAGAGATTTATTGTCAATAATAATATATTTGTTATTTTGTCGCCAAAACTACCAATCTACGAAAATCATTGTGATATAAAGGTTGTTATAGCGACAGTCATAAAATATACCTATATATCGTTGAAATATTGGAAATTAATTTTTTTGTCGCCAAAACTACTTTGTCGCCAAAACTACCAATTATTGCAATGTAAAGGCTGTTATGGCGACAGTCATGAAATCTGCCTATATATATATCTGCCTATTAACAAAGTACAGAAATTAACGCGGAAAGCTATTATATATTTATTAATGCTTTTAAATGAATATTTATGTATATATTCGAATTGCTTGCTTATTCGATGAATGATAGCAAAAGAAGTATTTTTTGGATGTATTGTATATATTATATGTCAATTGGCTATTTTAACGACATCCCAAAAGAGATATACTTTTTTGCTATCATTCATCAAATAAGCAAGCAATTCAAATATAACGTCCATACATTTGCATTTTCACAAATCCAAGAATTTATCTAAAAAAGTTGTCTATTCATTTACAGCAGTATTATCAAGAGACACGGTAGTGTCTCGCGACCAGTTAAGGGCGTAGCCGAGACACCGTGTATCTTAACGCGAGTCGGACATTTGAGTCTTTATAATATTTCGAATTCTCAATAACGGCTGAAGCAATCGAGTTTATACTAGACTTAATCGATAGATTGAGTTTGAATTATATAATAAAAGTGTCTTTATTTCTGCTCTACGTGATTTGTAAGCAGAGATATATAATTGCAAAGTCGAAATATGAAAAATTTCTTTTAAGAAACGTCCCCGTCATCATCATTATTATTATCATCATCGACCACGCAAACATAGTAGTATCGTGCTACACGTATTCACACGTATACAACACATGCGCACACATATATCACACGTACACAACACATGAATAGATGCATGTATTGGAAATGTCCATCTCGCACGTTTTACAACAGACGGCGATAGTTGCCCTCCGCTATATTGACAGCGTGCGGGGTTAGATATTTTCAATTTTCAATTTCAATTTTTACATTCAATTTTAATGTTATTATTTGCAAATTTATTGTCATAATAATTTATGTGCAAGTTTACAGTCTGTGATACAAAATCAGATATTTTGCTATTATTTCAATAATATTTCAATTATATAAATGCCTATGTATGAGTATGCATATATTTTTAATAATTTTCTTAATTAGCTTCTATATTTTTTTCAGTTGTACATCAAGCAGGTAGCATTATCAGCTCACTTGTGAGCATGGGTTGGGCAATGGCTAGTTATCATCGCAGCATTCGATTAGCTTAACAAGATAAATCTAATATCAGTGCTATAGGAACTATTTTACAATTTTTCTGGCATTTTCTTATTGCAGGTACATATATATCCAATAATTAATATACAAAATTAAATATTATTCATCACACACTTTGTATCAAAATAATATATTTTTTAAAATTTATTTAATCATTTTTATCATTGTGATTGTAGTGGCAAGGATCTTATTGCTCAGTGTCATTGCAAGCATCTGGCCTGTATATACCATAATATATTGCGTAATACATTGGCTAAGTATGACAATATAGATTTTGATAGATTCCCATGGAATATTGGAATTTTGTCGGACTTACAGTCATCCACCACATATGCAGCCTACAATTAAAGAACGCATTTATTCCATATGATTTGCTTCCGTTATTGGAATATTTAAAATAAAAATTTTATTAATAAATTTCGATGAAATAATTTATAAGAGGTTGAAGAAACTATGAAACAAATTCAGTCTCATAAAAGGGTAGTTGGAACAATAGTGGTGAATGCAGAAGGTATTACATGAGATCATTGACATGATTTACTTGTAGTTGTAAACAAAAATTTATAAAATTATATCTGTTTTAGGTATTCCTATAAAGTCAACATTAGATAATACGACAACAGTTCAATACGCAGGTTTGATAAGTCAATTGTCAGATAAAGCTCGTTCTGTCGTACGTGACTTGAATCCAACAAATGATTTAACTTTCTTGCGCATACGTAGCAAAAAACATAAAATTATGATGGCACCAGATAAAGAATTCATATTAATAGTAGTACAAAATCCAGTTGATTGATATTTAAAAGAAACAAAAATATATTTCAAAGTTAAGATTTATTTCTTTGGTTGTTAATTTAATCTGTATGCTACATTGTGGATGTTAATATCTATTCAATTAAATAAAGAAAAATAAAAGAATAAAGCTTAAAAATTATACAAAATGCAGTATTTAATTACTAATTTAACAAATTATGAACTTTTAGAGTTTTTAAATAGTGCTTTCTTCTTTGGTAACAATATTATATTTTTAAGTTTGATAATTATGAAAATATGTATATATAGTAATTCATGGCATGTTTATTTTTGTATTTAATACAATTATAAATGTACATTTCTCATCAATAAAATATCACAGTATCTTTTTTATAATTTAATTTTAATATTGAGATTGTTTTTATTCAGTGGAAAAAAAAATGTGTAGTTGGTCCCTATTAATTATACATACATATAAGAGTGTCGCACAAATAATTCTATGCAGTCTTTTTAAGATAATATAAAAATACTTATAAATATAATCAATTAAAATACATATAATCAAAATTGTATGTATTAAAATTCAATAGCATATAAAAAAGATTTTTTGAAATTATATATATATAATAAAAATCCAACATTTTATATATATATATATATATGTTACATAGTTACATGTCTTTTCAAATAAGCGCGTAAGCATGACATCGCGTTTAGGATAGGAGAGCAAGTGGTATGGCGGGGGTGACAATGTGCGATGTATATATACACGCGTATCGGCGGATTCGCTCTCTTGTATCCTCTCGGGCACAGCGTAAGAAACACACACACAGATAGCTGAGTTATACGAACCACAGGAAATAAAGCGATTGTAAATTTAGTGTATACGTGGCAGTTACTTATTGAACCCCTTTTCCAAGCGGGAACACAACAGTTGGCGACGAGGATGGGATACCGCACAGGAAGTTAAGAGAAGAGTACATTACCCTGCAAAGAAGGACACGTGCGTGTTACAGTGAGTGCCGAGTATTTTTTTTTTTTTTTTGCGGACCACAACTCGGTACTGCGGATTCTGCCATGGCTGAAGCAATCGTGCATGGAAGTTTCGCAATAGAAGCTTTCGATCCTGCCGTTACAAATTGGAAGCGTTGGCTAAAACGTTTTGAGGGAGCCGTTACAGTGTTCAAGGTTCCGGAACCACGGAAAGTGGCGTACCTACTACATTTCATCGGAAGTAAATCTTTCGATATATTATGCGACAAGTTAGCACCTCTCGACCCGTACACGCAGACGTACAACACAGTCGCACCACATTTGCAGGATTTTTACGCCCCTGCACCGCTTGAAATAGCGGAAAATTATCGATTCCACCAAAGGAAGCAGTCCGACGGAGAGAGCATACACCAGTACGTAGCAGCATTACATAAGATGAGCATAAATTGTAATTTTGGAGGATACTTAAAAACGGCGTTGCGGAATCAATTTGTTTTCGGGCTTACAAGCCGGCGTACACAAGCAAGGTTATTGGAGACAAAGGATATAACTTTCGACAAGGCAGTCGAAATTGCCCTTTCAATGGAATTGACGGAGAAGGATGTAAACCAAATTCAGGCAGCGGGAGTATCATCCGTGGACTACGTGGGCCAGAAAGAACAGCAATGGGGAAGAAGGACAAACGGTCACAACACAAGAAGCCAACAGTAAACAGACCAGCTGTTTTCCAGAAAGCAAAGCGTGCCATACAGGACGTTCCAAATTATAATAATACAAGCGGTATAAATAGCGTTACATGTTATAGATGCGGAGGTAAGCATTTAGCTTCAAAATGTACATTGAATAGAGAAATCGTGTGTTCAAATTGCAGCATTAAAGGCCATTTAGCAAAAGTATGCATGAGAAAGAATAGAGCAAAGGTGCATCAACTAAGCGACATTTTATGGATGAGTACGGAACATATTAAGCATAGAGATAGGTATTTTATTTCCGTAGATATAAACGAGAAAAACGTGCGTTTCGAAATAGACAGCGGAGCGGCGGTTACAATTGTTAGTAAATATTTTCTTGAGCGTTGGTTTCCGGATGCACAAATAGAGAACACAGATTTGAAATTATTTACATTTTGCAAAACAACAATTACGGTTGTAGGTTACGTAAAAGTACAAGTACGTTACAAAGGAATTATCAAGTCATTAAATATGTACATTACAGTCATGGATAGAGAACCACTCATGGGACGGGAGTGGATTCGTCAGTTAGGCGTACAATTGACCGACACAGTATTTACGTTAAATTCAAATACAGGAACGGAATTACATAAAATTCTGCGCGATTACAAAAACGAATTGGATCCTTCAAGCACAAAAATCAAAGGAATACAAGCGCGACTTATCCTAAAAGAGAACGCGAAACCAATTTTTCTTAAAGCAAGGAAAGTACCATTCAAAATAATACCTTTAGTAGATCGGGAGATCGATAGACTCGTTAAAGAAGGAGTTTTACAAGAAACGAGCGCGGCAGAATGGGCGACGCCGGTCGTGCCAGTCTTAAAGAAAGACAATTCGGTGAGGCTCTGCGGCGATTTTAGCGTGACGGTAAACAAACAATTACTAGTAAATGAATATCCGTTACCTACAGTAGACGAACTTTTTAGTACTCTATCGGGAGGCCAAAAATTTTCAAAGATAGATTTGAAGCAGGCCTATTTACAAATGGAAATTCATCCCGCGGATAGAGAGTTATTAACCCTAAACACACACCGGGGATTATACAAATGTACGCGTTTATTATACGGGATCGCTTCGGCGCCGGCAATCTGGCAGAAAGAAATCGAAACTGTACTGAAGGGCATTCCGGGCGTCTCTGTTTTCTTAGATGATATCAAAATTACAGGTCCGAACGACCAAGTGCATCTGGAACGACTTAAGGAAGTACTTACACGTTTAGCGAAATTAAATATACAAATTAATAAGGAGAAAAGCGAATTTTTGAAAGAAGGGATACATTATTGCGGTTATTACATTGATAAAAACGGAATTCATAAAGAAAAAAGGAAAATGGAAGCCATTGAGAAAATGCCTCGGCCGAAAAATATAACGGAATTGCGTGCGTTTTTAGGATTAATTAATTATTACGGACGGTTCATTCAAAACTTAAGTGGAATACTTACGCCATTACATACGTTGTTACAAAAAGAGGGCGGCAAAGCTGTGAGTTTCAGATGGACACAGGAGTGCGAAGCAGCTTTCTTAGCGGCGAAAAGAGAATTTACGAGTAATAAAGTTTTGGCGCATTACAATCCCAAACACCCATTAATCGTAGCATGTGATGCAAGCATGTACGGAGTAGGAGCGGTCCTTTCGCAAAAGCACCCAGATGGATCAGAGCGGGTAATCCAGTATGCTTCGCAATCGTTGTCTCGAACACAGCAGAAGTATGCACAGATCGATAAAGAAGCGTATGCAATTATTTTCGCGATAAAAAAATTCTATCAGTATTTATACGGAAATCGTTTTACACTTTACACAGACCACCGTCCACTTACACAAATATTAGCACCAAACAAATCATTGCCGGTACATAGCGCGATGCGCATGCAACATTACAAAATTTTCTTACAAGCGTTCAATTACAACATCAAGTATAAAAATACGAAATTACATAGTAATGCAGATGGATTGTCGCGGTTACCAATTCAGTCAGAGGACGATTTCGAATACGACGTAGTAGATGAATACGAAATTAAATTAATAGAATCTTTTCCAGTCACATTTACAGAATTAGCAGCGGAAACGGAAAAAGATACAGAATTACAAAAGTTATCGCGGGCGTTACAATCAGGCAAAGAACTGAAGCCGAAAGAAAGATTCAATGTTCCACTTGCTGAATTTAGTTGCCAACGTGGCGCGATTTTACGAGACGGTAGAGTTTTGGTGCCGCGGAAATTACGAAAGAAAATTTTGCAAGAGTTGCATGAGGAACACTTCGGCATTATAAAAATGAAGGCAATGGCTAGAAGATATTGTTGGTGGCCGGGTATCGACAATGATTTAGAGAATGTAGCTAGAAACTGCGAAAATTGTAATTTAATTCGAAACGATCCGCCGAAAACACAAACACTTACGTGGAAGCCAGCAGAGCGAGCGTTCCAAAGAGTACATATTGATTACGCAGGCCCCTTTATGGGACATTACTTTTTTGTGTTAGTAGACGCGTTTTCAAAGTGGCCAGAGGTGCTCATTACGAAAAATATTACAAGTAATACAACGATCAAATGCTGTAGACAAATTTTTTCAACGTTTGGCATACCGGAGGTGGTAGTGTCAGACAATGGTCGATATTTTGTATCTAGCGAGTTCAAAAACTTTCTTAAATGTAATGGAGTAATACACAAAACTACAGCACCATTTCATCCAGCGACAAATGGGCAAGCGGAGAGATTCGTCCAAACCTTCAAGCAGATGTTAAGAAAAAATTCAATAGTCTTTCGGCAAGTACAGAAGATTTACAGATAGCTTTGTACCAAATTCTATTACATTACAGAAATCTGCCTCATGTGTCGTTGGGTGAATCTCCAGCAGAGAAAATGCTAAAGCGTAATTTGCGGACTCGATTAAATTTATTGTTGCCAACACAAAGTGATACAAGCAATAATTGCGAGACTAAACCGTACGATAAGATTCGCGAAGTACATATCGGCGAACGAGTAGAATGCCGGAATTATTACGGCAAACAAAAATGGATTTTCGGTAACGTGCAACAAAGACTCGGTCATGCACATTATATCATTCGTTTAGATAATGGTAAATGTTGGAAAAGACACATTAATCAAATTCAGAAAATAGGCGAGTGTCCAATTAGAGATACGTATAATATGAGCGACGATATGTTCGACTACGAAACCCCAAATGTAAATCAAACACCTGTTATTAATTCGAAAAATGTAAATGTAGACAAGAATGCGAGAATGGTAAAAGAAACCCCAGCGCCAATAAAGGTGGATAATACACCACGGAGATCAGTGCGGGAAAAGAAAGTTCCAACGCGTTATGGGGAATCAAGTTCATAAATAAAAAAAAAGAGAACAACGTCATTAACACATATACATGTAGATTTTTTTTTGTTGTTTGTGGTTATGATTTTTTTTTCCTTAAGAGAGGGAAGAGTGTTACATAGTTACATGTCTTTTCAAAATAAGCGCGTAAGCATGACATCGCGTTTAGGATAGGAGAGCAAGTGGTATGGCGGGGGTGACAATGTGCGATGTATATATACACGCGTATCGGCGGATTCGCTCTCTTGTATCCTCTCGGGCACAGCGTAAGAAACACACACACAGATAGCTGAGTTATACGAACCACAGGAAATAAAGCGATTGTAAATTTAGTGTATACGTGGCAGTTACTTATTGAACCCCTTTTCCAAGCGGGAACACAACATATATATATATATATATATATATATATATAAATATAAATATATATTTATTTATTGTATATCATAAATATATATTTATTTATTTATATTTACCTATCTTTTTTTTATATATATGGTAGAAATACAATGTGAGTTATTTTATTTTGCAAAATTTTTGAAAGTTAAACTATACAATGAATTATTTCATATAATACCGAGATTCTTTTCATAATAAAGATTAAGAGAGAGTTAGATTTTATCATAAGATTTATAAAAGTCATAAGATAAGGTTAATTGCATATTGTATAATTTATCTCTTATTTTTAAAGTAAATAAATATCAAAGTTACATTGCTTGAACTGGTGCGTTTGAAGTATGTTGTCTTTTTGAGGGATGCAAGACAATATAGTACAAAAGCATTGCTGTAATTCCCAAGAAAAAAGAAATGATACAAATAATAAAGATTATATTAAAGTACTAAGCCTCTTTAACTGCAGGAGGACAAGCATATTGCCATAATAAATTTGCTGCAATATTTTCAAAAAAGCAGATAACATAGAAAGATAGATGTTTTCAAAATGTTTTGCTATCTACAGCATTGAGATATATAAAAATGTGCACTATGCCAATAACGGAAGCAAATAATATGGAATAAATGCGTTCTTTAATTGTAGGCTGCATATGTGGTGGATGACTGCAAGTCCGACAAAATTCCAATATTCCATGGGAATCTATCAAAATCCATATTGTCATACTTAGCCAATGTATTACACAATATATTATGGTATATACAGGCCAGATGCTTGCAATGACACTGAGCAATAAAATCCTTGCCACTACAATCACAATGATAAAAATGATTAAATAAATTTAAAATAAATTTTTAAAAATATATTATTTTGATACAAATTGTGTGATGAATAATATTTAATTTTGTATATTAATTATTGGATATATATGTACCTAAAATAAGAAAATGCCAGAAAAATTGAATTTGCTTATTTATTTAAAGATGCTTATCATATACAAAAATGAATGATATAATCTCTAAAAACTCACCTTTAAAAAAGGTAAAAAAAGGCGACCAGTTAAGGGCACACCATTAACAAAAATTATCCATTGCAAACCCATGTACAATAGAATTGTATGAAAAATTATCGATTATAAACCAATGTACAATCGTAACAAAAGTAATGAAATAAAAAAAAAATTGCGCCAAGTGAAAGTAGAAACTTGTACCAGTGGAAAATTAAAGTTGCAGACATATATAGAGTCGTATAATGAATCAATAAAAATTTAAATTTGCAAATGTAAAATTGTACCATAAAAAACTTATCTTTAAAAAAAAAAGATAAACAAGATGCCAAGTCCATGCGCCATGTGAAAAAGTGTTAAACAAAAAAGTATTTTTAAGTAAAAAAATCTATCAATTGACAAAAATTTATGTTCTAAAATTAATATCTCTACAAAAAGTAATGTCCAATTATTGCGCGAATAAATAAACATTTTTATAAAAAATTAAAATTTAAAAACTTATGCAAATTTAAAATTAATATAAAATAAAAAGAAATAAAAAAATTTTAGTTAAAAAACTGGGCGCGCTGCAATGAGTTTAAAAGTAACAATTTAATTTTAATATCATTAGAATATTATTTAGCAGCGCGCCCAGTTTTTTTAACTAAAATTTTTTTATTTCTTTTTATTTTATATTAATTTTAAATTTGCATAAGTTTTTAAATTTTAATTTTTTATAAAATGTTTATTTATTCGCGCAATAATTGGACATTACTTTTTGTAGAGATATTAATTTTAGAACATAAATTTTTGTCAATTGATAGATTTTTTTACTTAAAAATACTTTTTTGTTTAACACTTTTTCACATGGCGCATGGACTTGGCATCTTGTTTATCTTTTTTTTAAAAGATAAGTTTTTTTATGGTACAATTCTACATTTGCAAATTTAAATTTTTATTGATTCATTATACGACTCTATATATGTCTGCAACTTTAATTTTCCACTGGTACAAGTTTCTACTTTCACTTGGCGCAATTTTTTTTTTATTTCATTACTTTTGTTACGATTGTACATTGGTTTATAATCGATAATTTTTCATACAATTCTATTGTACATGGGTTTGCAATGGATAATTTTTGTTAATGGTGTGCCCTTAACTGGTCGCCTTTTTTTACCTTTTTTTAAAGGTGAGTTTACTATACCACAAATATCTCATACATGTTCCAAAAATGTTTTAGGAATCTATAATAATCACCGCTCGTTCGTTAGCAACGAGTTGATACGCGTAACTAGGGAGCGCGGCGTTTCGTATCAGGAGCTTTCGTATGTGAATAAGAATACCCAAATATAATAATAAGACAATTGTGTTTGTTGGGCTTTATTGGAGGTTTTATAAGTCGTTTTATAATTAAATTTTAAATTCATCTTTATTTATAACTGGAAGCAATGGATCTGCCTGTTGGTGACGTTCGAGATTCCTGCCATGTAAGTATATATTGTGTATATATATATTATTTTAATAACGTTAAATACCATAAAATCTTAAAAACTACGTATTAACTATATGAGCATCTCATGTGAATGATTTTAATTTTTTCAGTGATTTTTTTATCAAGTCAATAATAGCAATACTGACATAAAAATTAAAACAATAATGGTAAAATAAAAAAATGTTTTGTTACAAAACGTCATATGAGACGGATGGTAAAAAAAGAATTAATACACATCTTGCAGTTGAATCGACAATTAATTCAGACGAATAATTTGCCTAATAACATAAAAACAATTATAAATGTAGATACTGTCATAAATGTAAATACTACAAATATAAATGTAGATACTGCAAAGAAACATAATGAAAAACAAGAACAATGTGAAAACCATGATAATGTGATTCCCGAGATTCCAGAAAAAATTGAGATTGAACCATTGGAATATATTGATGTGATTGAAGAAATTAACTGTTCAGATACTTCTTTATCATTTGAAAATTTATGTAATAATCTCCCTATTGTAAATGATTTCATAGTTAACGCTGTGAAACAATGGTTTTTAAAATACAGACATTTGCTTAGTCAATCTGCCATGAATGAATGTTGAGTATTCTACGAGTGATATTTCCACAATTAGCAAAAGACTCGCGAACTCTTTTAAAAACACCAAGTTCATGTCCATATGAACTTAAAAGTGTTCCTCCAGGTTTCTATTGTCACATTGGCATAGAGAATGGACTACGTAGGATAATTAATAATAGTTTAAATATGCAAAAACATTTGATGCAAAATGTAGAAATAGTATTACCTCTTAACATAAACATTGATGGTTTACCGATATCTAATTCTTCAAAAAGTCAACTCTGGCCTATTCTTATCTCCATAGATCTAAATCTGGTTGATAAAAATATTAAAAAACCTTTTGCGGCTGGGATATATCACGGACACAAGAAACCAGCCTATGTAGACCAATTTTTAACTGAGTTTATAACAGAGTTCAAACATTTAGAACAAAATGGTTTTAACATAAATAAAAAAATAAAAAAGTAAAGGTTGGTAAACTTCTTTGTGATGCTCCTGCAAAATCATTTATTTTATGTATTAAAGGTCATACAGGCTATAATGCCTGCACAAAATGCATTCAAGAAGGGACCTTTGTTAATGGAAGAATGACTTTTTTACAAACAAATGCACAATTGCGGACTGATTTCATATCAGAAATAAATTAGATGAGGAATTCCATAAAGATACAAGTCCTTTCGAAAAGCTAAATATTGGTTTCGTATCTCAAGTTCCTCTCGATGGCATGCATCTTGTATTTCTAGGCGTAGTTAAAAGATTAATTATGTTTTGGATAAGAGGGAAAAAAATCATCGTTTACCCGAGACTGATAAAAATGATATTAATAATCAATTATTGTTTTTGAAGAATTATGTGCCGAAAGATTTTCCACGCTTGCCAAGAAGTTTAGAGGACATTGAATACTATAAAGCCACTGAATTAAGGCAATTTTTATTATACACCGGACCAATTGTTTTAAAAAAGATTGCAAACAAAAATATATACACACATTTCATGGCCTTATCCTGC